CTGTTTACTGATGAAGGAAGAAGTTGAAGATGCTCCTCTGCAGAGAATTCTAGGCTTATACATTCGTGACGTTAACACGATACGAAGCAGGCCGGGACTGAAAGCAAGATCTGCGTAAGAGTTCATTTCTAGCTCGGGCCCAGTCAATCTGTTGGTAGCATCAAGGTGCTCCAAAGCCCATTGATCTGTAGAACTTTATCAAGCCTTGTTCGTGGGTTGACGCTTCTTTCCGACTGGTTGCATCTTATATCGTCACTAAAAGAGATCGAGAAGGAAATGTACAGTGAAGCGCACACTGTCCTTTGCCGTTGAATTGCCAAAGTGACGGCGCCCGATAAAATATGGGAGACTACATTTTCATTGCCGCCATTAGTACGTCAAAGTTAAACTGCCATTATAGCCACCAGATGGCACTGAATTTCGGGAAGGGTTTGCTGCGGACAAACCCAAGCCGAAGAAGGCGACGATGGCCGACCAGCCGCAGACCCCGGCCGCTTCTGCCGTCGTTTACCTGACCGTCATACCGCGGACGGCTGCTCTGTTCCACGGCGAGCAATACGAAATCCACGGCGAGCAATACGAAGACTTCGAAGACTGGATGAACGCGTTGCCCGCCACAATGACTGGACCAACGAGCAGCGCCTGCACAACGTCTATTTTTCGCTTGAGGGTACCGCCAAGCACAGGTACGAGAACCATGAGTCCTCTTTGACGTCATGGGACATTTTCAAGACCGATCTGAAGGCTACATTCATCAACCACCACCGCCGAGAGAGAGCCGAGGACCTACTGCGAACCAGAACACTGAGTCCCAACGAGAGCGTCACCGGTTTCGTAGAGGACGTTCTGCGCATGAGCGCCCGCGCCGACCCTCGGGCTACAGAAGAGAAGAAGCTACGAATCGTCATGCGCGGGGTGAGAGACGACATCTTCGGAGGCCTCGTCCGCAACCCGCCGGCAACCGTCGACGCCTTCGTCACCGAGGCAACAAACATCGAGCGCGCCCTCCAAGCGCGCGCTTCCCACTACCAGCGGAATCCAAGCGCCACTGCAACCGCTTTGCTTAGTGGTGATAAGCGCGGTGGAAGTTTCCAAAACCATCCAACATTACGCATAGCAACTTGATACTGCCAAAGTGGGATTTCGCATAACGCGAGTAAGGTTTGAAAACAAGTGTTTGTTGCAGGCGACACGGAAGACTGTCCTTTCCTGGCGTCGTTACTGGCAAGATGCCAGGGCTTCTCTCTCTTCTCACTCCCGGCTGCACGGCCGATTATTATTTCCCAGTCTCGGGTTTATCATTGGGAGTTAGTTCTCCAGCTTGTCTGCGTTTTTTACCACCAACTTCTGTCTGCCGAAGCTTCTGTCTACTGCCTCACTAAAGAGCGACCTGCATCAGGACAGGCATCTGCCACACCATCAGCGCTGTTGTGACGCCGCCAGGATCGCGGCCGGCGACAGCATGGCACTTTCATGACGTCATCGGGAGGAAATCGAGTGACCACCCAGACTTGTGCGTAATCCGTTACAAGTAACGAAATTACTCGTAATCCCTTACATTTATCAGTAATTTAGTAACGGAATAATTACATATTTTCTAGAGTAATTTCAAAGTAATTCCCTTACATTTTTTATGTCCCGGATTCCTTGTAATCCATTAAAATTTTTCCAGGACCAATCCCCCCCCCCTCTCCCAACCCTCTTTCTAAAGAAAAGGTTGTTTTTATTTTGGTAAAGTCGAGCGCAGTGACACTGTCACGCGAATCGACCAGCGCAAAGGGAGGCTTGGCGCTCTTCAGTTTCGCAAAGCCTTTTTTTCAACACAAAGCTCCTGAATCTATTTTTTTTAGACCCTAACAACAATGTTAGGAGATCGAAATGGGCATTTCTACGGGGGGGGGGGGGGGGGGGGGGGGGGGGGCGAGCTATATCCGCTTTTTTTAGTCTCTTTGTTTTTTTCTTTGCGATCGAAATCGAAGACGGGGAGAGAAGAACACCAAGTGATGGTGTGCCTCTTCGAGAAGCTCGGAGCGGTAAGTGCACAGAAAAAGTTTAGCAATGTCGTCCTTGGTTAAAGTGACTAGGACCATTTTCATAATGTCAAAACACGAGACAACGCTCCGTCTAACCTAAAATCCGCTAAAAAAGATGTGATAGTGTGTTAAGGTGTTATTGCCACAAGCATCCTCGTTCGTTGCTGCATACATCATCTTCTCTTAGAAAACAGGATGTATTTTTTTTCTGCTTCTTTCACCTTATTTGATTATGTTTTAAAGGCTACTTGCTTTTTTTAGAGCGCAGCTCTTAGGGCCCGTTTCCGGCTTGAGCGGCGTCGCCGTCGGCGTCGGCGTAACCGCAGAGTCACGTTACCTCCCCCCCCCCCCCCCCCCCCCCCGAGGTCCCCCCTGAGGTCACGTGAACTCCCCTTGAGGTCACGCGATCCCCAGGGTCACGTGACCTCCCTCCCCCCGTGGTCACGTCACCCCCCTGACGCCAGACGACCCCCCCCCCCCCCCCCCCCCCCCTGAGGTCAGGTGACCACAACGAGTCACCTATCCCTCAGTACGCTCCCATCCTACTCCTCAAGAGCTGCGCTCTAATCTGGCTTCACAGGGAATTGTAAACGGCTTTCATTTTTTTTTGGTCCAACTTCTAAAGTTAGGCTTACTTCATTTGTGAATTCCAGCCAGGTTATCTGCACCTCAGTCACGCTTTTTAAAGATTCAGCTTTTTGCGAGCACTTCCAAAATGGTAATAGTCTTGCTTTTTTCTTCTACCTGTTTTTACTCCAGCAGGACGCATCTTATCTCGAGCAGATATTTTTGCAAATAAAGCATAATGGAGGATATTCTGGGCCTGAGGAAAGAGTGAAACTCGTCAGTAGAGCCATAGCGCGCCTTACTTAGCACTCTGCCCTTCGCTGTCTCTGGCATCAGCAGACGTCTATCTGGAGAACACTGGAGTTAACTGCAGTCGGTCCGTGCTCTGTGCGTTTTTGAACGGCACCAAGAAAGATACACACGGCAAACGCGCGTTTACATTTCCTTGTTTTAACCGAAGTTCTAATTAATTGTTGTTATGAGTGTCCTAGCGTTTTTTTTCGATTACCTAAATTTATACATTGGAAACGTTTTTCTTATTCACCAACGTCTTAACCGAGGCTAGAACTGTTTAGAACAAAAGGAAGGAAAATAGCGAGCAAAACCTTATTTTTTAATTAGCTATGTTCTGCTAGTGTCTGGCGATATATGCCAGTATAGTAAGATGTACATAAATCAATTCTTATTCCAGTTTTGGCTAGATGTATAACGACCTCTACAGCTTTGCGATTTCGACAATGGAGAAGGTCGGTCCGATGACTTTGTTAACGATACCCGATACTCTGCCGCCGCCTTTGCGCATGCATAATATCATTATCGGGGGTATCGGAGGTATCGGAGCGATCTACTAAAACTCGAATATCTGGCAGCGGCTGCAACGACGAAGCTTTGCTATATCTGCGAGGTAAATAGTACTTCCACTGCTTCGCTGAAAAAGCTCAATGCAGATCATAAACATTCGTGAGGCAAAATATGGCACTCTCATCCAGTGTCTCAGTCGAAATGGTGTCGAGCGTAGCAATTGACATACTAAATAGTTTCAGCAGATCGTTTTTTCGGCGCAATAACGACACCCGATAACGATACGATGCATGCCCAAAACCACCGGAGGGGAGTGGAGGTATCGTTATCGGGGTGAAAAAACGATCTGCTAAAACTCCCTAGTAAGAAATTACGCAAAATGTCTGACGAGACTTTCGAGAGCCAACAGTGGCTAAAAATACTCAAGGTCAATAAATGGAACAGGTGGCAACAAAAACAACTTGAACAGCCCTATTTTCTTTGTTTCTTACTTGAGGACAGTAATTGTTGAAAGTAACGCTACGCAAGTAACGGATTACTTTTGGGGGTAACGGCCACTTACTTTAATAGGAGTGTAATTGTAATTGTATAAGTCTTGAGTAATTGTAAATGTAACTCCTCATTATTTTTCAGTAACGTGTAAAGTCTAGACCACCTTTTTAGAATGCGCTAAACACGTCAATCGAAGACAGTTTCCAGGCACCATATACTGCGTGCTACTGCTTTAGCCATGGTAGTGCGTTCAAAGGGCCATTTTGTTTTTCTTCGGGCGGAAGGAAAAACACTTGGCCTCCTCAGTTAATTTGAGTTTGATTCTTTCGCGGACGAGAAACAATCAGGTCTCGCAGAATTACAGATTTGCTCCTTCGCAGTGATAATGCGCTACCTCTCTTCAGCACTTCCGAAATACCAGTAATGGAAGCTTCTAATATTTTCCAGAGACAATTTCGCACCTTTGCTTTTTTGCCACGAAAAACAAACAAACAAACAAAGTTTTAAATAAGATTGCAAGAATGCCATTAGGAAGAAGGCTGTGAACAAACTATTGAACACGCAGAGACACTTGTTTCAATTTAGATCTGCATACAGCCGAAGACACAGACACAAATGTGAACTGGGTGAAGATAGGCGAACGATTTGTAATGATAGTGGATCAGAAATTGTTTGCGAATTTGTTGCACGTATACTGCTGCAACAAGGCCGTCCTTCGGCAAGGTCATATTTCTGCCGGCGACTATTTGGACACGAACATGCGTAATACAGCCCTACATGCGTCGCTGACGTCACGACGCAGCGGTGGCGCTGCTGACGCTGTGTATATGGCGCACGCGCAATACGCTTTTCGTTCTTTCAATACAAATCCTGCTTCCGCACCCGACGTGGGCAAAAATACGCTTGTTTGAAAACAGCGCGTGAGTGAACAAAGGAGGGAATTATTGCTGATTCGCACTGTGCGATATTCTTGCGCACGTGCAGCTGTGACGTCACTTTTGCGGAGAAGAAAGCGTGGTGCTTTCTGGGGTTCCCAAAAGTCGCAACTGCGAAATCCCGAGTGAAATCGCACTATGTAAATCAGGCCCTAGCACCATAATGACATACCTCTTTAACCTTCTCATTCTCGTTCTCTGGAGTTGTTTCTTGGATACATTGAGATGCTTCAGCGTTGATGACAACGTCGAAGGTCAGAAAGAAAGTCCACGTCAGAAGCAATACTCGCCGCTGCAGCTCCATTTTCGTTTTTTACACGTCAGGCGATTTGCGAGCACAACCGCTGAGTGTTCGTTTTTATACTTTGAGTGTGTCCGACGTGACTATGAAATACAGATGCGTTTCGAGGATGTTTGTTGATATTTACGCAACTCGGCCATGTTTGTTGCTTTTGTCTTTGCGCTTTTTTTTTTTCTATTCTATACGCCGCGCATATAACTGTTTGCTCAGAAATTGCAACACCATCTTTATTTTAGTCTTTCCGGGTAAACAAGGTTCTTCTATTGAATTTATTTGCAACACGAACAATTGAAACTTGTTCCTCGAACCGCATGTGCCCGCCACCGCGGGAGGGAGGCCTGAAGGCTGTGACGAACATGGAACGAAGTTTATTGTTTCCTGCATTTGAGTACGTGTAACCTAACCGGCATGAGAATATTCGCGACAACGCTGGAACTATACCCCGTTTTGTTTTAAGCCCAAGCGAGATAAAAGCTACAAGGACGAGCACGTGATCCTGAACACTGCTTGCACAGCACAAGCGCGCGTGCATGGCAGGACGCTGAAAGTCCGCAGTTCGCTCTTGTAACTTCTGCCAGGATAACAGTTAAAGTAAAACGGAGTTTTACTCTACAGCGAGGTTACAGCGAGGTTTGAAGTTAGCTAATTTGGAGAAGTCAATTGCCTTAAAGAACTCTAGTGAGTTGATTGAGGTAATGGAAAAGTTTCACGGAAGGAAGTGCGCGGTATTCTCCATGGACATCAAGGACCTATATTACTCTTTAGAGAAAAGCAGACTAATGAATAGAGTGAGGATCGCCTTGGAAGGGAACCTTATTAAGTTTCAATCAGGAACAGGAATAGCGGTGGATAGTTTTCTTTCGGTGCTAGACCTTTATTTACAGTCAACGGTATTGGAATACGAAGGTCGCAATTTTGTGCAAAAAGAGGGAGTTTGTATAGGTTCGTCTGTAGCGCCTTTGTTAGCGGAAATTTACTTAAACACGGTGGACCACCAGGTGTATGACAAGGTAGAGGAGTTGTCTCCAAAGTGTTTTGTGAAAAGATATGTGGATGATATCTTAGTTTGCTCTGTTCAGGAAGGATTGGACCAAGTTTTAGAACAAGTAGTAAGGTCAGCGGCGCCAGAGTTGAGATTCACGTTAGAGAGGCCAAGGGGCGAGGTCCTGCAATTTCTCGACCTGCGTTTGCATTTGGAACGAGGTCTTTGTTGGGAGTATGGGAAGGAAAACCCAAAACCGGTTCTTTCAAAGAATAGCTGTCACTCGAAAAATGTAAAAGCCGGGGTAGTCAGATCTTTGATTAGTAATGCTTCGGTGAGATCGTGCATGCATTTCGGACCGGAGGCACTAAAAAACCAGTGGGAAAGACTGGTAATGGCAGGATATGGGGAAGATTACATCAAAAGGCAGATTGCCCTACAGTGCAGGGAGAAAAAGGGGAAGACGCAAGAAATCAGGAATAGGTACGCTGTGGTTCCGTATTTTCACGAGGTGTCCCACAATCTTAGAGCATGTGCAAAAAAATATGGCGTGGATGTCGTATTCAGCACGGATTTTAGGTTAGATAGATTGACACCTTTTGAAACGGCTCAGAGGGGCTGTCAGAAGGCGCATAGGGAAAAGTCGGTGCCGTGTAGCGTAGGCGTGGTGTATGAGGTTCCTTTGGCGTGTGGTTTTAAGTATGTAGGCCAAACCTCTCGGTGTTTAAACGATCGTTTATCAGAACACAAAAGGAATGTTAAAAATAATGCAGCAAATTCGGAGTTGGCTAAGCATCTGGAGGAGTGTAGAAACTGCACAACGGATTGGTCTGGAACGGATGTAGTTGTTAAGGAAAGGAACGATGTTAAAAGGGTGGTAAGAGAAACAATTAGGATTAGATCGTTGGGAAATTGCATTAGTCAACCTTCCATGCAAATAGGGAACCGCTGCAAGCAATTTTTACAATTGTAAGTGCTTTTTTTTTTTTTTTTAGTTAGTTATTCTGAAAGGCTTCGTTGGTGTGTATTGTCTGTGGTGTGTACCGGTGTGTATTGTCTGTTTTCTACAATTTCGGAGGTGACCAGTTTTGAGTGGGATGTTGTTGTTGGCTGTTGTCCTGTTTATTGTGAGGACACAAAAGAGTTGCTTGGGGCTTTGTGAGGCATATCTTCTGCTAGAACCTTTTCACTTGGAAACGTTGGGAGTGTCCGCTTCTTTTGTGATATAGTGGAACCTGTAAAGTCACGGTGCAAAGGACAAGTCGTATGTGATTGGTTGTTGACGACGAAAACGAACTATATAAGAGGAAGTTTTTGAAATAAACGTGTAGCTAAGTTTGAGACCTGTCTGTTTTTTCTGTTTCTTCTGCTCTTCAAAAAACCCCCCCAGTCTCAGGGTAAACGACGAAATGGTATAATACCTATTTCAGACGGGCGCCTACACTCTCAAGAAAAAAGGGTGTCAAAAGGTGTATTCGTATACCCTTTGTCCGATATAATACAAACCCATACTTCAATTCGACATGCAGCGCCCTACAGTCGAACAGACGGCCCGAAATTTTACGAGGGGCTTGATAGCCGTGTGGTACAACTTATTAAAATAGCTAATGTACGTTTTACTGAACACGAAAAAAATAATCCGGTTTTTTTCGGCCCTACTGTAAAAATTCGGTGTTTTCTTATGTGGTCTTTGATGCGTACTTTAGCTATTTAAAATGTTGTACCACATGGCTAGCAAGCCCCTTGAAAAGTTTCGGGCCCTCTGTTCGACTGTACGTCGAATTGAAATTCTAGGGTGTATTATATTGGACAAAGGGTGTAAGAATACACCTTTTGACACCCTTTTTTTTGTTTAGAGTGTAAAAGGGCCTTTACGCCGAAGGCCTTGAGGATTTTCGAATCACCTTTAAAGGTCTGCGGTGCCAGAGAGCGCGAGTAAATCTCATTTAGACGACATTTACAGCGATTGAAGTCTGTTCACACGCATAAAGCACGTTCACGCAAGAAAAATAATATCATGGCGATAAACATAATTTCTTTTTCTTAAGCAAACAAAAATTAAAAAAAAAAAAAACTAAATGACGAGATTTGTCGACTGATTAGAATTAAGTCCACCTTAAAACCAAGGAAAGTGTTTTTTTTGGCAATTAGCGGCAGCCCTGAACGTCTTGCTCAGTGCGCACGCTCCCTGGGAAGTACCTAGGTCCCTCTTTCTAATGTTGGTTCAACGCTAACGTAGCCACGTAGCTCTGCGTTGTCTGTGCGCACAGTGTTGCCAGACCACCAAGTAGTTTCGCAACTCGCCCCATTTAAAAAGAGGGGAAAAAAACGAACATCGATTCAATCTTGTTTTCGGATGCGAAAAGGATGCACCTGGTAGCAACTACCAAACTTCTCGGCGTAAGCGGGATCGGGCGTTTTTTTTCAGCTTTTTTTTTTATTATTGATATTTTGTTTCACAAATCTTGAGAAAAAATTGAGGAAAACAATCGATGACAACGCGAAGAAACATACGGACGTTATCGCGCTTGCTGAAGCCATATACAAGTGTTGAACTGGGCTCTAACCTTTTCACGAAGTTGTACCGAACCTCTTTATGACTTTTTTATGCGCGTTGTGGAGTCGGTTTGCGGTTTTCTTGGTGCGCAAGCATGCAGCTCAATGTGTGCGGACAATACCGAGTGTTTTAATATTCTACGCCACAAACTATAATTGAAGATGCGTATGGTTAACAGTAACAACAAAAGCTGAAAACACCACAGAGCCCTCATTTTAATGTCATATATTAAAAATATAAATAATTACGTTGGAAAGCCAAAAAGACACCTCATTGCTTTGCAGCGATTTCTATACACTTTCTCTGGCGTCGGTAAACGAGGTTTGTAAAACACATCTAAAACAAAACAGGAGATTGTTGTTAAAATATTCTTGAATATAAAACATAACAGACCGAGGCTACGTGTCTGTTTGCTCAACATTCACAGAGAAGGGATTTTGCTATCGCAGTGGCTGGAAATTGGACGGCCGCGGTGGCGAAAACTTACGTTGCGGACGTCGAGTGGAGAACACGGGCGGTGCCAACCTGATTTCACAAACTAATTTTTTTATCTCTTTGTCTCTTTTTTGTCGCAGCCGAGGTAAAAAAAATTGTTTAGTCTTGAGAAATTCAATGCAGTTTTTCTGCCAGGGTTGAACAAATCTTCATTAATAGCGAAACATCCGTCAACTGTGCTTGAGGTGAATGTTATCTGAAACCAATTTAAGCTCTTGCAACGCCTGCAAAATATTGCCCAGGGCACAGTTTCCATTAAAACACAAAGCTTTCTAAAAAAGAAACACCTCTTGCAAATAAAAAACAGAAAATAAAAACTTTGAGTCGCATGCAATACCGTAGAGCAGTCTACCGCTAAACAGTACGATTTCATCCGTATTCGCATCGAAAAAAGAATTCGAAGTGTCCCCAGAGATGAAACGCATGACGGCCTAGCTCTTTGTCCACGTTGGGTGATCGGTGGGAAGTCAGAAAACAATAAAAGTTCCGAATTGCACTCAGCGGCAGAGCGTCCATGCCCTGGAAGGAAATGCGGAGAAACCGAAACTCAAGACGGCTTCCCGCACAGTGTTCCCAGACCACCAAGTAGTTTTGCAGCTCGCATCGAAGTAGTTTCGTTTTCACGCAGAAGGGTTTGGGTTTTTGTATTGCAGGCGTTGAATCAAGTCATCGGAACACTTGATACAATCAAAGCGACTTTTGGATGCTGAACAATTTCTGCCGGACATTGCAACAGAATGACGCAATAAAAATAACACTAATTTCAGTATAGTAAAGGTTTTTTAGTTTTTTTAATTATAGCTCAATTTGGGAATTTTAAGCTAAACTGCTGTTTTATAGATTAGTCTGGGAGTACAAAAAGTATAGAATTTTATTAACTGATTTTCAGGCGTTCGATTGGGTCCTATCCACTGATTTTTGTTTTCCCCACCTGGCAACACTGGGACACTGGGACCCTGTGCGCAGTTT